ATTCCTGCTTATTTTTTCATTGCAGCTAGTGCTTACAGAGGTTTTTTTATGTTACTCTCGGTAACATAGCTGATCTGGAAGTAACTACTATGGAAGATAATAAAATCACCACACTTTAATCTCTTATTTCATATTATAGCTTAACAAAGTCAAAGAAATGTTTGAACTTATATTTCTAATAGTAAAACTACTAAAATAGAACTAAGAGATATTTGCTATTAGGGTATATTTCCTTTTTGCTGAACCAATCTGACTTTCTCCTACCCTATAAGCAAAGCTACTAAACATTACAGTTTTCTCAATTTGCACCCATGTATTTGATCCTGGTAAAATCCATTCATGCTTTACCATGACTTATTTTGTATTAAACCCAAACAGCTATACTGTTGTCATTTAGAAATGTAAGAGATACTTGCTGTTGCTTTTTCTCGTTCTTCACTGCTTTTCTTCTTTTTTGCTCGTACCTAAAAAATTCAAGTTTTTATAGAGAAGACAAACATAATTTGTATTAAAGGTATTTTTCTTTCATTCCCTAAAATATAGTGCATCTTCAAAATTTATGTACAAAAAACAGTGACAATCAAAATTACTTTTAAACAACTTCTTATATCTCAATGAGGTTTCAATGGAAAACAAGGAAAGAAAAATCAGATTTCAAATCCCTAGAGAGCTTCTCTTATCTTTCAGCACCTAAAAAAAGTAATGTAGAGGAGCTCTTAGCAGCTCCGACGCGGGGAATGGCAGGCGTGATGGTTTACATCTCGAATGGACAAGTACTGGACAGCCGGAGTCAGTCCCCATGGAGGTTATCTTTGATAACAGATTTTTTTCTGGGGAAGAGCCAATTTATAGTTTTGTTTTTCAAAACTGTGCTTCAGCAAGATGTGAAAAAGAGAAGAGGCTATGGAAACTCATCTGATTCCAGATATGATGACGGAAGAGGGCCACCAGGAAACTCTCCCTGAAGAATGGGTCAAATCAATCATCTGCATGGCCCCAGTCCTCCTCCAATGGCTGGAGGATGAGGAAGGTGAACGTCTGCTCTAAGAAGCAGACAACTGGACGTGCACATCCATAAGTAGGAGGAAGCCATCAGGAAGGAGAGGTCTGACCACACCAGAGAAGTTACTGAATGTGCCCATCTGAACAAGGATTGCTCTGTGTCCTCACAGATGAATGAGGTCATGCTGGGAATTCCCTCTCTGCAGGGATCTGGCCTGAGTGATATGCAATTCTATAAATGCACATGTTTATCTCATTATCTTTTTTGTATACTTGATTAAAGTATTGGTTATTGTTTTAATGAGTAAGTATTTTTAGCTTGCACAACTGACTCATCTTTGTATAATTAAATCACAAAATGCAGGCCAACTGGTTGCATGGTGGTTAAAATGTCTGGATCTCATGTGACCAACTACACGGTTTGAGTCCTAGATCTGGCACCCTGAGAAATACACTGGAATACAGTAGATATTTCTCTTATTTTATGGTAACAAACAATGGCAGCTATACACATAGTATACTCAGTATAAACCAACTGATTAAAATCCTTTTAAGTAACATTATCACCCCATTTATATTTTATTTCAATCCTTTAAAAATGTGGTACATTGATTTGAAATTAAACCAAATGTTATGGGATAGTAATAAAAAAATACTGTATAGTATGCAAGCAGGTAGCATGGTGGGTAAGGCACTGGACCCCCAAATGGCCAACCTCAGTTCAAGTCCTGGACCTGGTGGCTTACTTTCTCAATTTCTCTCTCTGTCTCTGATAAGCACAAGTGCTCTATAGCAAATTAAAAATAATCTTAAATAAATAAAATTAAATAAACAATTATTTACATGATTGTTCCATTTATAATAGCTTTGAATGTCATTTCAGGAGTTAACACAAAATATTGCTATCAAATAGGCCAACAGGTCTGATGGGACTGAGGGTCACAAATGCAGACCAAGTACAATGAAATCAAAGGGGAGACAGGCATAAACAACAAAAAGGCAAGACTCAGTATGGGCAGATAAAGAATACAGAGACTGGAACAGAGACGGGAAGGACTGATGTAAAAGGATGCCAACACAGAGAGGAGATGGAATCAGGAATACCTGTTCCTGTGGCAATCTGCTACTACTTTGTGTTACTAAGGACCAGAATCTCAACTTTCAGGTTATATTGTTGGAGGTTCAATATGTTCTCTCTCTTTTTTTTTTTTCTTTTCGGAGAGGTTTTTGCTACAGATAGAGATAGAAAGCGAGAAAACATCCCCCAGGGGGGATGGCCACGCCACAATCCCTTCTCCTCCATTCTCCTCTTGGGAACTTGGGCGTGCACGCACACGAGCCTGGCATGAGTTTAAGCCACCGGGTCCAGGACTTGAACCGCAGTTGACTACATGGGAGTCCAGCGACATAGCCATTAAGCGAACTGCTGGCCCCCTCAATATGTTCTCTTAAGAAAGATGCAACCTAATGGTAAAACTCACATGATTTTTGGTGTTATAATAAAAATCTAACCCAAGTGTAACACCAAGAATTATGCAAACTTTAGTCACCAATTACTCTGCCCAAGTTAATGCAAAACCTTTCATGATTAAACATGTCATTTAGTTGTTATAATAAAGTAAAATAATAGTTCCTATTTTATAGCTGAGAAAACCAAGGCTAAGAGACAAACACTTTATTTTTCTTTCTTTCTTTATTTCTTTTTTTTTGGAGAGGTTTTTTGCTATAGGGAGCATGTGCTCGCCAGACAGACAGAGACAGAGAGACAGAAAGCGAGAAATCACCCCCCAGGGGGGATGGCCATGCTGCAATCCCTTCTCCTCCATTCTCCTCTCGGGATCTTGGGCATGCACGCACACACGCCTGGCGCTGAGTTTAAGCCACCAGGTCCAGGACTCGAAATGCGGTCGACTACATGGGAGTCCAGCGACAGAGCTATTACGCTAACTGCTCGTCCCGAGACAAACACTTTAAAGATTGTAACTTACAGACCTGAAATTAACTAAGAATGCCCTCTAATTCCAATACAGTACGTCTAAGATAGGGACTGCCTCAGCTGAAAGGACTATAGAGATGATCTAAAACTCCTCCCTCATTTTCAGACAGGAAAATTGAGGTAACATCAATATTTCTCTTCCATCTCATCAGCAGTCTACTCTCCAAATAGCTCCAAACAAGAATAGTGTCAGTTAGATTGACATAGTATATGTAGAAGCCCGCCAGTGGCATGGTGGTTAAGGGCGCTGGACTCCTACATGGTCGACCATTGTTCAAGTCCTGGCCCTGGTGGGATTTGCTTTCTCATTTCCCCCCTGCCCCCCTCATTGTCCCTCTCTGGTCAAATTAAAATAAATAAATAAATAAAGTTAAATTAAAAAAAAAAAAAAAAGAAATAAAATAGTATATGCAATGTTCTAAAAATACCACGTAATTAAGTAAATGCTGGGTTTCAAGATGCTGCACATTACACTGCTTTTTTATATAATTAGAATGGTAGAACAATAAAAAGAAAGTATTAGATGAATAAAAATAAGGGAGAGTAGAAAAGTTTGTGGGAAATAGGAATAAGTATCAAAATAACTGTCATATAGTTATCTTCTAGAAAAATGCAGAACTTATTCTGAAGAACAACCTCCATTTTTTATCTCATACTAGAAAAGTAAGTAAATCAAATATTTATGAAGCCTTTAATATAAAATTGTTTAATTAATTATTATTATTATTTAACTTGCTACAAGGCATGGGTGCGCACCTGAGAGAAAAAGAGAGAGAGAGCAAGACAGAGCAAAAAAACAAGCCTTCAGGTCTGGGACTTGAACGGCAGTAGGCTGTGTGGGAGTCCAGCATCTAAACCACCATGCCACCTGGCTCTGAATATTCTTTTAACTAATTCATGTTTACTAAATTAACAATGAACACTATGAAGTAGAGAAAATAGAACTGATCATGTACTTACCTCCTCAATATAATCTGATTCTGACATGGACTCAGAGGACAAAGGTTTATCTTCAGGATACATCTTTCTTTTTTTGCTCAGTCCTTTAACGTCCTGTGAGAAATAATTTAACTTCACTTAAAAAGGTATGATATTATCCCACACAAATTTCATGTTACTAAGTTCTATTTACTAATCCTCTACTTATCACAAAAATTATCCTTTTTCATTTTAGAAATGTCTAAAAGTGATGTAATTTACCAGAATTTAACAGTTCATGCTACTATTGCTATGTGATATTTTCTAGAATTTAAGTCTTTAATTCCAAGAAAGCAATGCTTTTATTAAATAACTTGAAATAACCACACACCCTTTTAGATGTAATATCCTCTTTCTTTTAAACATGATACAAGATTTTATTTAAAAAAAATAAATTCAGATGACAGAATTATAGAGTCATAAACCAAGTAGATGGTGAAATATTTTGGTCCTCTGTATTCAATTTTTTTCTCCCTATCATGGGTTAGATCAGACATGCCTAGTGGTGAAGAAAAGGAATCAATGGGTAATTATTCACAATGATCTAAAAGGATCTTTACATAGTTTCTCCTTTGGTTCACTTGAAATATTAAATTCATATTTAAAAACATCTTAATCTCTAAATATTTTTAATACTAAAAAACTGAATAACTGAGGAAGGAGAGGGAACTGAGATTGAGAGAAATTATTTTTTAAAAATAATTATTAACTTTTATCATTTTTCAATTTTTTAAAATAATTATTTTATTTAAGTTTATTTAATTAATTAATTAATTAATTTTAATTTGACCAGAGAGGGACAGAGGGAGAGAGAGAGAGAAAGTGAGCAAGCAAGCTGCCAGGTCTGGGACTTGAACTGTGGTCAGCCATGTGGGAGTCCAGTGCCCTTAACCACCACATTACCTGCAGGCCCCTCATTTTTCAATTTGATTAGAGAGTCAGAGAAAGTACGAAAAGAAGCCCCCGGGATAGGTACCCTTAAACCACAATTGGCCAGATGGGAGTCTAGTGTCTTAGCCGCCATGCCACCTACCAGCCCTGATTGAAAGAAATTCTTAGCGGGTTAAATATATATTTTAAAAAATTAAAAACAAAACAAACAAACAAAACAAAATATGAAAATACCTAAAGATGGGGCCAGCAGGTGGCATGGTGGTTAAGAGTGCTGGACTCCTACATGGCCGATCACGGTTAAGAATCCCGGACCTGGTGGGACTCTACCCCCCCTCGTTCTGTCCTTCTCCGGTCAAATTAAAATAAGCAAACAAATAAGTAAAGATAAGTACTTCTTTAAAAAAAAAAAAAAGAAAGAAAGTAAGAAAGAAAGAAAGAAAGAAAGAAAACACCAAATTAAGTATGCCAAAATGTTAAAGTTTATTAGATCTGCACTATGGACATTCTGGTTATTATGTTATTTTCTATATATTTTGTTTCATATATCTAAAACAGTCAATAGCAATAAAGGCAAAACTATACACTGGAGGGACCAGCAAGTGGAGTGGTGGTTAAGGTGCTGGACACTCCCACATGGCTCACCATGGTTTGAGTCCTGGACCTGGTGGCTTGCTTTCTCACTTTCCCTCTATCTCTCTCTCTCTGGTCAAATTAAACTAAATGAATGAATTTTAAAAAATTAAATAAATTAAAAACAAAATACTATACACTGGAAAAACTGCTCATGGCCCAATCTTATACAGAAAAAGCAAGATATAAAACTCTGTATACAGCACTAATCCAATTTTAACGACATAAACAAAACAATTACAAAGACAATAAACTAACAGTGATGCTCTCAATGGGTTAGATTACAGGTGATTTTTTGGTTTTGCAAACAGCTTCATTAGTTTGGTTGAAATGAGAAATGTTCATTTTAAGAAAACATGCCCAGGACAAACTGTGTATAGTGGTTAGGGTGGCCGGATTGCATACAGCTGATTGCATGATCCAAGTTCCAGACCTGGTGACCTGAAAAACATGTTGGCCACATGTGCCTGCATGCCCAAAACCTTGATAGGAAGGAGAAAAGGAGAAGAGATTGTGGCATGACCATGACCATGCACCATTGAAGGGGTGCTTTCTCCCAATCACTCTGTTTCCCTGTGTCTCTCTGGTAACCACACACTCTCTGGCAATAATAATAATAAGAAAGTGGCTACTTATGTATTAGAATAAAGTATGTGTGGGGCCAGCAGGTAGTGTGATTAAGGCAGTGAATTTCTACTTGAACCATCCACAAAGGTTCGAGTTCTGGATCCTGTAGCTTGAAAATAATGTCAGGCACGTGTGTGAGTGGGCCCAAGATTCCAAGAGGATAACGGAGAAGGGACTATGGTATGGCCATCCCCCATGGGGGGGGAGGTTTACTCACTTTTCCTCTGTGTCTCTCTCTGGTGAGTGCATGTGACCTAGGACAAAAACCTAAAAAGAAAAATTCTATGTGAGGGGCCCAACAGATGGTATAATGGTTACGTCACTGGACTCCCATGTATTCGACCATGGTTTGAGTCCCGGACTTGGCTGCTTAAATCTCACACCGGGCATGGGTGTGTGTGTGCTCAAGATCCCGAGATGAGAATGGAGGAAAAGGGATTGAAGCATGGCCATCCCCCCTGGGGGTGATTTCCTACTTTCTGTCTCTGGGTGGGACACGCACCCTATAGCAAAAATCCCTAAGAAGAAAAAAATAATGCTATGTGTGAACCTAAAACAAATGCATTGTGATTTTAAAGAACTCAAAAATATTAGGTAAAGAGTAATATACATATATGATAAAATAAACAAATACTCATGTACATACCATCTGGAGTTAATAAATGGCTTATATTTGCTTCAGGTATTATTTTATATCACTTCTAGGTATATACCCAAGAGAGATGAAAACTTACGTCTACACAGAAACTTGAACGTGTTCTTAAACATGTGGATAACAGCACTATTTATAACAGCCAAAAAGTAGAAACAACCCAAATGTTCTTCAATGAATGAATGAATAGATAATTTACGGTATATGCATACAATGGGCTATTATTGAGCCATAATAAAAAGTACTGATATATGCTACAACTTGAATGAACTGTGAAACCATCATATTAGCTAAAAAAAAGTCAGGAGCAAAAAGGTCACATACTGTGTGACTGCTTTTATTTACTTATTTTTATTTAATGAGTTAATATATTTTTGAATTAATATATTTTGAGAGACTTTTGCTTCAGGGCACATGTACTCACTGAAGAGACAGAAAGACACAGAGTATGAGAAATCACCCTCGAGGGGACGGCCATACCAAAATCCCTTCTCCTCCATTCTCCTTTGGGGATTTTGGGCACACATGTATACATAACCAGCTTGAGTTTCAAGCTACCCAGTCCAAGACTCGAACCAAGGTTGACCACATGGGAGTCTAGTGCTTTAACCACTATGCCATCTGCTGGCCCCTTTATTTTTATTTTTAAATTTTGCCAAAGGGTGCATGCACTTGACCTGGAGTGGGGCCAGGGAGTGAGAAAGCAGTGCCCATAGGGGAGGGTCATGTTGCAATCCCTTCTTCCTCCATGTCTCACTCTTTTTGGGATTTTGGGCATACACTCACAGCCACCTAGCATGTTTTTTTAAGCTGCTGGGTGCAGGACTTTATTTTTTTAAGTTTTTTGCCATAGGATGCATGTATTTGATGGTGAGACACAGAGACAGTGAGAGAGAAAGTGAGATATCACCCTCACCAGGGGGATGGCCATGTTGCAATTCCTTCTCCTTCATTCTCCTCCTGGAATTTGGGCATGTACATACACACGCTCAGTGTGGTTTTCAAGTTGCTGAGTCTGGGACTTGAACAGTAGTCAGTCATGTGAGAGTCCAGCATCTTAATCACCATGCCACCTGCTGGCCCAGGTCCAGGACTTGTAATTGTCCAGTTAGCCATGTGGGATCCAAGGATGATTAAAAGTTTTGAAACTGAGAGATGTGGTGGCTATACAACACAGCATATGCACTAAGTAATACTGAATTGTAATTTCAAAATGGTGAATAGTGTCCTACAGATGGTATAGTGGTTACATCGCTGGACTTCCACATGGCTGACCATGGTTCAAGCTCCAGACCCAGTGGCTTTAAAAATCACACTGGGCACCTGTGCATGCATGCCCAAGATCCTGGGAAGAGGATGGAGAAAGGATTGAAGAATGGCCAGCCACCTCCTGGAGGGGAGGAGTGATTTCTCACTTGCCTTCTTACTGTCTCTGTCTCTTTCTTTCTCTCTGTGAGTGAATGTGCCCTAAGGCAAAAACCTCTAAAAACCCTAAAGGTGAATAGTATAATATGTAAAATTTCACTTCAATTTTTTTTTTTTTGAGAGATATTTTTGCTGTAGGGCTCATTCACTCACTTGGAGACATAGACAGAAACAGAAAGAGAGAATGTGAGAAATCACCCCCAGGAGGGATAGCCATGCCACAATTCTTCTCTAGTCTCCTCTTGGAATTTTGGGTATGCACACAAATGTGCTGGAGTGAGTTTCAAGCCACTAGGTCCAGGACTCAAACTGTGTGGTTGGCCACCTAGGAGCCTTAACCGCTATGCCACTTGCTGGCCTCATGACTTCAATTTTTAAAAAAGATAAAGACAAAGAATGTGTAAAATACAGTGACAATGATCTGTAGTTTTCCTTCATTAGTAATTGCTTTCTTTATAGACTCTTCTTTATTTTTTAATAATCTAGAATTTTAAATATAAACCAGAAACTTAGGTAAGGATAAATATAGCATTAATTACAGAAAAGTAATAGATGAAAATAAAACACCCACATACAACAGTAAAAAGATTTTTCAGGGACCAGCAGCTATGTCACTGGACTCTCATGTAGTTGACTGAGCGGTTTCAGTCCTGGACCTGGTGGCTTAAACCCATGCTGGGCATGCGTGCATGGGTACCCAGGAGCCTAAGAGGAGAATGGAGAAGGGATTATGGCATGGCCATCCCCTATGGGGGTTATTTCTCGCTTCCTGTCTCTTTGTCTCTGTCTCTCTGGTGAATACATGCGCCTTATAGCAAAAACCTCTCCCCCCCACCCCAATTTTTTTTTTTATTTTCAAAATTTATTTATGGTACACTCAATTTGAAACAAATTCATGTTCTAATTAAAAGGACCTTCTTTAAAATTACTAAAGAAAACAAAGGAAACGTTCAGTCTCCATTATTCTGTCTTTTAAATCTGAGATAATTCATTAATTTATACAAATTCAAACTCTGCAGGAATACTCTTCTGATCTTTTACCTTTGATAATAAATCTCTCAATAAAAAATTTCCTTAAATGAGCATGGACTGCCATAAAAACAGGAAATAAATCTCTTAGAAAGAAATACTCATTATTGTTAATTCCCTGGTTCAATTAAGTACTATATGACAGACTACCTTAAGGCAATGTAAAAGTACAATTACCTTATCTTTCTCAGTTGCATCCTTTGATTTCTTTCTCTTTTTTAAACTATCCTAAACAAACAAATATAAACATATAAGTTTTAAATATAAAGGATACAGCAACAAGGACCAATATACTAAGGAAAAAAAAAAGATTTGTTCTCTGACTGAAAAATGTTTACTTTAAAGCTAGCATATTATTCTGAAAATGTTAAGTGAATATACATTTTAGATATATATGTATACATTTGCTTATAAGCAAAGAGACTTCTTCACCTATCTGGCTATATATCAAATCTGTGTACTATGAAAACTGCCAAATAATGCCTGTGATGCCCATATGGTTTATTTGAAAACAGGACTTTATGCCACTAACTTTGCCTACAGTGGTCATATGCACAGGAATTTGGATTCACACTATGCTAAGACACCCACCAATCTGATCCCTACTCTCCTCTTCAGGAAAGGAAGCAAGAATTTCTGCTTGTCAATCTGTTAGCTGTAGCTATGAACTTCCCTGGGCCTCCCATTTCCTTATCTGTACAGTGGATTAATAAATAACTATAATATTTCATGGATCATTGAGAGAATTAAATGTGGTAAATGTATCAATTGTTTAAAACGGCCAACACATAGTAGGCACTCAAAAAAATGTAAGCTAATGTAAGGTTGGCTCTTCTGCTTCAACAGAGAGAAAACCAACATTTACTGAATATTTGAATATTTCCTAAATGCCAGCCATTTTGTCAGGAAAAAAAAATCTCACCAGACCAAGATACCTGCTATAAAATCCAGACAATGCTTTGGTTTCCTCAGATTCTAGTAAAGCGTTTATGAAATTATGGTCCTTCGATATCCCTACAGGGTATTGAAGGGGATTCATTAAAAATGTACTTTCAAGTCTGATAGAACTTACCAAATCAGACTCTGGAGATGGGGCATCAGAATCAATATTTTTGTCAAGAATCTTAGGCCTTTTAAACACTTCTTTTTCCCCCTTGAACTACAACTACTTATGAAAATGGGGAAAATAAGCTGTTAGGGAAATATGGAGATACAGAGACATATGTATGAAAATACTACAAGAATTATTAAATGTTACATGTAAGATATTAAGTACATCAATTAAATGACATAGGACATCAAAGTACAAATAAACAGACAGTAACTCATTTGTGAAGTGAAAGCAATTTAAGATAGGTGGAACTAAAAGAAAAACTTCACTAAATGTCTTTGCTATCCAAAATGTTATTGATTTAAATAATTTTACCTTACTGTCTGATTCAGTTTCTGATATGGAGCTTTCAGAAGATTTATGTGAACGGTTCTTCTTTTTCTTTCTCCTTTTTCCTTGTTTCTTGTCCTATTTAAAACATATTTAGAAACATTTGTTTTGTTTCAAAAATATAATTTTTGCACCATTACTATTATCAAACCATTATCAATTAGCACAACTTTCTCTTTTTTAAACTATCCTAAACAAACAAATATAAACATATAAGTTTTAAATATAAAGGATACAGCAACAAGGACCAATATACTAAGGAAAAAAAAAAGATTTGTTCTCTGACTGAAAAATGTTTACTTTAAAGCTAGCATATTATTCTGAAAATGTTAAGTGAATATACATTTTAGATATATATGTATACATTTGCTTATAAGCAAAGAGACTTCTTCACCTATCTGGCTATATATCAAATCTGTGTACTATGAAAACTGCCAAATAATGCCTGTGATGCCCATATGGTTTATTTGAAAACAGGACTTTATGCCACTAACTTTGCCTACAGTGGTCATATGCACAGGAATTTGGATTCACACTATGCTAAGACACCCACCAATCTGATCCCTACTCTCCTCTTCAGGAAAGGAAGCAAGAATTTCTGCTTGTCAATCTGTTAGCTGTAGCTATGAACTTCCCTGGGCCTCCCATTTCCTTATCTGTACAGTGGATTAATAAATAACTATAATATTTCATGGATCATTGAGAGAATTAAATGTGGTAAATGTATCAATTGTTTAAAACGGCCAACACATAGTAGGCACTCAAAAAAATGTAAGCTAATGTAAGGTTGGCTCTTCTGCTTCAACAGAGAGAAAACCAACATTTACTGAATATTTGAATATTTCCTAAATGCCAGCCATTTTGTCAGGAAAAAAAAATCTCACCAGACCAAGATACCTGCTATAAAATCCAGACAATGCTTTGGTTTCCTCAGATTCTAGTAAAGCGTTTATGAAATTATGGTCCTTCGATATCCCTACAGGGTATTGAAGGGGATTCATTAAAAATGTACTTTCAAGTCTGATAGAACTTACCAAATCAGACTCTGGAGATGGGGCATCAGAATCAATATTTTTGTCAAGAATCTTAGGCCTTTTAAACACTTCTTTTTCCCCCTTGAACTACAACTACTTATGAAAATGGGGAAAATAAGCTGTTAGGGAAATATGGAGATACAGAGACATATGTATGAAAATACTACAAGAATTATTAAATGTTACATGTAAGATATTAAGTACATCAATTAAATGACATAGGACATCAAAGTACAAATAAACAGACAGTAACTCATTTGTGAAGTGAAAGCAATTTAAGATAGGTGGAACTAAAAGAAAAACTTCACTAAATGTCTTTGCTATCCAAAATGTTATTGATTTAAATAATTTTACCTTACTGTCTGATTCAGTTTCTGATATGGAGCTTTCAGAAGATTTATGTGAACGGTTCTTCTTTTTCTTTCTCCTTTTTCCTTGTTTCTTGTCCTATTTAAAACATATTTAGAAACATTTGTTTTGTTTCAAAAATATAATTTTTGCACCATTACTATTATCAAACCATTATCAATTAGCACAACTTAAAGAATCAGCTTATAAATGTTTTTCTTAATAACTAATATCACTTCCCTGTTTATGTTTTTAAACACTTTTAATTGCCAGAAGGCATGTGTGCAAAAGGGAGAAAGAGAGAAGGAGAGAGAGAGAGAGCATGTGCACAAACCCCAATACAGTGTGGTCACGCTGTAGTCCTTTCTCCATTTCTCTATCCTGCTGGGATTCTGGGCATGCGCACACATGCGCCCAGCATGTTTTTCAAGCTGCCAGGGCTGGGATTTGAACAGTGGTCAGTCAGCCATGTAGGATCTGGCTCTCTTACCAAAAGGCTATAAGACGACCCTATTACCTTTCCTGTTTTGTTCAAAATAAAAGTCAACTGACTCAATCGCATGTAATCCTTAGCATGTAGTCAAACAGCATTTCAGATTTTTTAAGTCTGTCTCTTCTGATATCTTTAAATGAACAAAATAAATTGAGAAATCTAAAATATACATATATCAACATGCAAATACCTAGGTATCACTTGCTAATGTCAGTGCTCTAAGTTATTAATGATTAATTAAAACCTAGAAGTAACTGTTTCTAACATATTTCACAATGGGTTTCTTGGCCTTAAAGAAATTAGAGATGTTACTTCGTTAGTTTTTATAAGCAAACCTTACCTCATCTTCAGAATCTGAAGAACTGCTGGAAGAATCAGAGCTCGATGAAGAAGAGGATGAATACTTGACCAAGCACAAAACAATTAAAGCTTGTGAGATGCAGGAATTTCTTTGTTTTAATAGGTCTCTCAAATACTTAGTGAAATCAGTCTAGTGTCTAAGAAACAGATGCCATATTCATAAGACAAATATGAAGATGTAAAATGTGACACCTGTAACCCCCACCCCCAAAACTCAACAAAGTGAAACTATGGTCATCGATTTTCTTTAAAAAACAACAAAGGAGTGACTAGGTTATAAGGAGGTCATCACCTTTCTTTCTTATTAATAATGAAACAAAATCAGCCATCACAACCTCCAGAATTCCCGACTCATCTAGTGTTTAAGTTATCTTTAGCATACAGGTTAAAGAAATTATTCTTACTTTTTTTGCAGGCTTTAATTGTAACACTTAGAAAAATGGAAAACTTTTGCTCACCCTACCAGATTTCTTCTTTTCTTTTTTCTTTTTCTAAATGGAAAGAAATAAAGCACAAGTCTAAGTTGATATGAGCTTTGAAACGCATCTATTGAAAGTAGCATACAACATTATTATGAAATTCCACCTATGAGATTAAGAATAGCCATTAACTAAAAATTGGTTATTACCTGTCTTTTTTTGGATGAGCTCTCACATCCACTTAACAATTTCTCTCTGTGTTTTTCTAGTTCTTTCTTCCAATTCTGCAAAAAGGTTATAAACACCATCAGAGGGTATCTATCTTCTTCCGACAGATGGATGGATAACCACTACTTTCTTACTTCCATCTTCTAAGAACACTCACTCACCTCGGCTTCTAATTAAAATCAAAAGGTACTCCAGGTATGAATCTTCGACCCTATACTAATGAACCACATTACTAAAGGGTGGGAGTTCTTCTCTGTACATTGAAGGGAATTGGTGTTATTACTGAAGTCTTTTTTCCTTTTCAATAAAAATGGCTAGATTCTCTTTCCTGACTGCAGACTATAGAAGTGAGAGATGGGGTGGGGAAGGAGAGGGGCAAGGAGCCTTGCCAGGGTCTTGTCCAGCCACAATCCCCTTCCATCAACTCTCTGGCCTATCAGTATCTTGGGAACTCACAGTACACCCAAGGTGTCCAGATTGACTAGGCTAGGGACTACAACCTGCTGGCACATGTGTCTTCTACCAATGTAATTCAGTACGCTGTCAACTAGGCTGGGCCCTGATGTCAGTTTAATTTGTAGCCCAGCCGGAGAACCTAGAAGGGTAGAGGGAAGTCATTTTCTTCTTCTCAAAATAATTCCCCCCAAAACAGGTAAACATTATTTTGGAAGTTCCAAGGGGAAGAACTTAATGTGTAGGTAACTGAAATGATTTAAATTACTATATGATGGCTATTCTCTTTTTTTTTTATAGAAAGCACACATTTACATATAAAACTATATTCAATATAACAATAACACTTCTAAAATACAGAGCCCCCTTACAAAGAGCTATGCCCAAATCCTTAGTTTATTGAAAAACAAAACATAAAAACAATTGCATTTTTATTATGAAACTGAGCAGCAACCTCCCACCCCACCCCCAAAAGGAATGGCCATCCACAGTACCCCTTCCGTTGAGGAAAGAAGTGGATATTATCCAAACTGAAAATTAATTAGAGCTAAACTTAAAGTAAAGTATTTTTCTAAGCTGCATGAAATATGAGGCCCATTTGAATTTTAATGGCCCAAGGTTTGAGACTCCAAACTTTGGTTATGCTAGCCCATGTGTTTGGAAATAACTGTTTGAAGGTATACTCTAATCCACAGTACACAAAGAAAATTCAAATGCTCCAAAATTTACAATGTGGCCAATGGTTCCCTTTTTCCTGCAATGCTCCCAAAACTTCTGATATAGAGCTGTGTCCTTTTAAGGAACCTGTGTATTCTTTCCGAAGAACTTCTAACCTGCCCTCTTCTCTGCCTTTGTGTCATAAAAATTAGTTTATTTGGGCTAGCAGGTGGTATGGAGGTTAAGGTGCAGGATCTCACATGGCTTACGGAGTTCAGATCATAGACATGGTTGAAGTCCTTGACCCTAAAGCTTGAGAAAATGTCGAGCATGTATGTGCACACCCAAAAATCCTGAGAGGAGAATGGAGGAGAAGAGATTGTGGTGTGACTATCTCCCCGGAGATAATTTCTTACTTTCCCTCTCTCTCCCCCAAAGGCACGTGCACCCTACAACAAACCTAAATAATACATAAATAAAATTAGTTTCTCAGCTGTGGGCATTAGGGAATGGTTGAGATAATTGGTAAAATAAGCAATATTGGGGCCAGAAGGTAGCGTGGTGATTAAGGCACTGGATCCCATACGGCTGACTTCATGGTTAAGTCCTGAACCTGGCGGCTATAAAAACAAACAGGGAGGGCACGTGTGTGTGTGTGTGCCCAAAATCCCGAGAAGAGAATGGAGTAGGCATTGAGGCATGGCCATTCCCCCAGGGGATGCTTTCTCAATTTCTATCTCTGTTTTTGTCTCTGTTCAGCGAGCACATGCACCCTGTGGGTGGGGAGGCAGGGGAAGTAATACTGGCCAAGAGTCAGGGTCACAAGATTAAAAACAAAACTGCCCCTTGAAAGAAAAGATAAGGTTTTAACTTAAATTTTTAAGATGAAGCTGACTCCATAGTCAAATCAAACACAGCTGACTGTGGTTCAAGTCTTGGGCCCAGTGGCTTGAAAAACATGCTGAGTATGTGTCTGCGCATAACCAAAATCCTGACAGATTGGAAAATGCAGGAAAATGATTGCTGCGGGACTATGCCTCATTGTGCAGTGCTTTCTGCCTGCCCCCTATGGGCAAGTGCATGCTTTCTTCGGCAATTAAAAAGAAAAAAGATGTTTTACAGGATGTAAACTGCTGGCTGTGAGCACAGACTCCAGACTGAATGGCACCAGTAACCTGATTATTGCCCATCCCAGGATACAAAGCAACTGCTGAAGACCCCATCAATTGAGAAAGCCCCTGAGAAGATCATGCCCTCCTAAACAAATCATCAAGTGGATTGTGCTCCTAAGACCCCTACACTTAATTCTGCCTTTAAAAATGCATGCCTGGAATTCCACAGGGAGACCAGGCCTTTTTGGCATTAGGTTTTACTTTTATTGCTCTGCACATGGCAATAGAGCTGTATTCTCCATTACCAAACCCCCTGTCTACAGTCTGGTTTGTAATGCATGGGCTGGCAAATGTGGTTTGAGAATTACAAGGAAAAAGTATTATTATTTTTTTTTTTCAAAAGAGCTATTTACAAACCTCATTCATTTTTTCTTCAAATTCAGCCAAAGCCTTGGAGCCTTTCTTTTTCTTTTCTAGTTGTTCTTTCACTTCTTCCCTTAAAGATAATAGAATGTACAAATAAATTTTCAAGCATTTCAAATTAGACGTTTACGAACAAGACAAAACAAATTTCATGAATAAACTTTTCTTAATATTCTAAGATGTCTACATTCACATTACTTTGTTCATATGCATTTAAATAAATTATAACAAAGTCCATCAGATAACACCAATCACCCCTCTTTTACACATGACTTATAAAAGCCAATACACCAAACATCTGGGCACTTACATATAAAAGGTATTGTTTTAAATACATTTTCATTTAATCTTTACAATGACCCAGTGAGAAAAGGAGGTAGGCAGCCCATTTTACACATAAACTGAGGCTTGGAGAAGGTTAGAAATCTGCCTACGGCTGGTAGCTTCAGTGTTAGGGTGAGCTAAAGGTCTGTTTGATTAAATTATTATATTCTATTACCCATTTTGTAATGTATTTGACATGCTGTAAGGACAAGAATTAATATAGCATTCCTGACTGCTAATTCTTAGAAAGGTTTGGTTACAAAATTGGTCCTAAAGTAGGTTCTAGGTGGGTAACTGAGAGCTTGGATTTTGGAGGATTCTTACCCTAAGGGTACAATAAGAATAGCTCACTGTGCCTAAATGGTTTGTGCAAACAATGTGGATTAGGCTGAATACCTGCTTCCTTCGGGAAATCTGCAGTTCTGGCATGTGACAGGTGGAGGCTGTCACAGCCTACAATGAAAACCTTGGGCACGGAGTATCTAATGAAATTCCCTGGTTGGAAATAATCTTATATGCGCTGTCACAACTTCCTGCTAGGAGAATTAGGTGTATCTGATATGATTCCACTAGGAGAGGGCCCTTGAAGCCTGTACCTGGTCTCCCCCAGACTTTGCCTTTTCCCTTTGCTTACTGTGCTCGGTATCTTTCCACTGAAATAAAGATGACCACAAATACAACTATCTGCTGAGTCTTCCTATGAGTTATCCAACCTGAAGGCTGTTTCAAACACCTCTGATACACAGTAAAATGCTTGAGTATTTCCCCCTTGAAGTTCATTCTCTGTTCCTATTTTAAAGATAAAATATACTTTGTTTTAAAATAATTTATTTTCTTGAGACCAGCAGTTAGTTAGCGTAATGGCTATGTCGCTGGAGTCCCATGTGGCTGACTGCGGTTCAAGTCTCAGACCCGGTGGCTTAAACTCATGCCAGGTGCGTGTGCATGTGTGCCCAAGATCCTGGGAAGAGAAGAGATTGCAGCGTGGCCATCCCCACTGGGGGATGATTTCTCACTTTCTGTCTCTGTCTTTCTGGCGAGTACACATGCTCTGTAGCAAAAACCTCTCCAAAAAAAAAAAAAAGAAGAAAGAAAGAAAGAAAGAAAGAAAGGAATAAATTTATTTATTTTCTGGTATGCTATAGTGGTTAACCACAGCACTCATGTACACTGAAGAAGTGGATAGTGCTTACTTTCTATTTAGCTCAAAAGAAGAAATGCATATTATATATAAGCAAGTCTTTCTACCATGGGTACCATGTTTTCAGGGGCACTAGAAAGTATTCTGAAGTTTGTTGTACTTAACCTCAGGAGTATGGTAACGATAAAGAGCATATATTAAAAAATAATAAGACCTGCATAATGATGCTTTATTTATAAATGGTTGAAGCCACTCAGTGAGTTTTTATAATTCACTGATAAAAATAGCAGATAAATCTAGAAATAAGGCTGAAAATGATCATTCCTAATATAGTTAGTTCTGAATAAAGGACAAGAGTATTAAAGCCTTAACTACCACAATACCTGCTGACCCCATTTTATACTTATGCATATTTCAAAAGAAAACACAAATCAAATACTACTTTGAAAAAATTCATCTATCTCTGTCAGTTGCTTGGCAATCAATACAAGTAAGGACAAACTTTAAAGTTTATAAAAAGAAAGAAAGAAAGAAAGGAATAAATTTATTTATTTTCTGGTATGCTATAGTGGTTAACCACAGCACTCATGTACACTGAAGAAGTGGATAGTGCTTACTTTCTATTTAGCTCAAAAGAAGAAATGCATATTATATATAAGCAAGTCTTTCTACCATGGGTACCATGTTTTCAGGGGCACTAGAAAGTATTCTGAAGTTTGTTGTACTTAACCTCAGGAGTATGGTAACGATAAAGAGCATATATTAAAAAATAATAAGACCTGCATAATGATGCTTTATTTATAAATGGTTGAAGCCACTCAGTGAGTTTTTATAATTCACTGATAAAAATAGCAGATAAATCTAGAAATAAGGCTGAAAATGATCATTCCTAATATAGTTAGTTCTGAATAAAGGACAAGAGTATTAAAGCCTTAACTACCACAATACCTGCTGACCCCATTTTATACTTATGCATATTTCAAAAGAAAACACAAATCAAATACTACTTTGAAAAAATTCATCTATCTCTGTCAGTTGCTTGGCAATCAATACAAGTAAGGACAAACTTTAAAGTTTATAAAATTATTTCACAAATACCAGGTAGGCCTTGGTCGATTCAGATAATCCTGGATCGTTGGTCCTGAAGACTGGATTGGACCCCTTGATCTGGCCATTGCTATTGGGTTCATATATGCCTGCAGGAAAAAACAAAATTAATTCTACAGAAGTAACCACTAAACATGCAAAAATCACAACTGTCAAGTAATCTTTACTACGCCTGCACACTATGTCCAACTAAGCACAATAATCTGACCAACCAACTTTTTATTTCAAAAATAAATTTAACCCACTACTAAGCTTGAAAGTTTGTAAAATAAGTAATGTCACTATTTCACAGAAAATGTGTCTTTTTTCTTTTTGAAATCAGGAGATTTGATGAAATAATGATACCTCTTGGGACCAGCAGTTGGTGTAATGGCTGTGTCACTGGACTCCCACATAGTCAACCACGGTTTGCGTCCCGGACCCGGTGGCTTAAACTCACGCCGGGCACGTGTGCGTCCAAGATCCCGAGAGAACAGAGGAGAAGGGATTGCGGCATGGTCATCCCCCCTGGGGGGGTGATTTCTCGTTTTCTGTCCCTCTCTGTCTGTCTGGAGAATGCACGTGCCCTATAGCAAAAACCTCTCCAAAAAAACCAAAAAACAAAAAAAAAAACTCGGGGCCGGCAAGTGGCATGGTGGTTAAAGGCGCTGGACTCCAACATAGCTGACCATGGTTCAAAGTCTCGGATCTGGTGGCTTGCTTTCTCACTTCCTCTCTCTCTCTTGTCTCTCTCTGATCAAACTGGAAAATAATAATGATAATAATAATAAATAAAGTTAAATAAAATAATTCTTTAAAAAAATGATACCTCTTATTTACTGATGGCTTTATAATCTTTTCTCCTAAAATTATAACCTTGTAAGGATGATAACATGAAGCTCATTAGTAAATTAAGAAACTCAATTCCAAGGAAGTTAAAAAAGATCTAATTCTAGAGGCCAGCATGTGGCATGGTGGTTGAGGTGCTGGACTCCCACATGGCTGACTGTGATTCAAGTCCTGGACCTGGTGGCTTGCTTTCTTACTTTCTCTTTCTCTCTGTCTCCCTCTGATCAAATTAAAAGATAAATAATAACAAATAAAACCAAATAAATAAATCTTTAAAAAAATCTAATTGTAAATTCACTGCTTACTCTACAATAATTTTTTAAAAGAGTTATTTTATTTCACTTTATTTGTTTATTTTAGTTTAATCAGAGAGGGACAGAGTGAGAGAGAGACACAGAGAGAGAAAAAGTGAGAAAAGCAAGCTGCTAGGTCCCGGACTCAAACTGCAGCCAGAAATGTTATGCCATACTGATGGCAAATTTATCCACTAACTGTTAACATTGAAAATTAACTATGTACAAGCAACAACAACAAATAAAGACTTCATCAAAACTACACATATATCAAAGAACACTATCAAGAGTGAAAAGACAATTGACAAGTGAGGAAATATTAGCAAATCATGTATCTGATAAAGGACTAATATCCAAAAAATATGAAGTGTTCCAACAACTTAACAACAAAAGTCCATCACCAAGGGGGTGCTTTCTCAATTTCTCTTATCTCTGGTGACCACATGTGCCCTCTGGCAAAATTATAAACAAAACAAAATAACAAACAAAGCCAAAAAAATGACTTTGCTAGAGATATACAGTTTAGTTTATTAATTCACTCTCAAATTCTTGAACTTCATATTTGGTTTTCCCAAATTCAATTTAAGTCAATAAATATTTATAAAACTCCTCTACTTTTTAAATACCAAGAATATTGGTTGAAAATGACTACTATGAAAGTTGATTTTAACGTCTTAAACCTACTACTTAGCATTATAAAAGAAGTAGAAGGAAATAACGTATTTGTTACATTTTATTTAACAAACTCTGTAAAAGTGATCGAGATTTCCCATCTTCATTATACATGCTCCTCAACCTCTGGTGGAGCTATATCCCAATAAACCCATTATAAATTCAAACTATTTTAAATGAAAAATACATTTAGGGCCAGCAGATAGAATAGATGTTAAGGTTGTTGGATCCCACATGGCCAACTGCATGGTGTAAGTCCCAGACCAAGCAGCTTGAAAAACATGCTGGGCAATCCAGCAAGTGGTATGGAGGTTAAAATGCTGAATTCCCATATGGCCAGCCGTGGTTCAAGTTCGAGTCCCAGACTTAGCTGCTTGAAAATCATACTGGGCAGGCCAGCAGGTGGTGTTGTGGTTAAAGGTGTTGGACTGCCACATGGCTGACCGTGGTTCAAGTCCCAGACCTGGTGGCTTGCCTTGTTACTTTCTCTCTCTGTCGCTAGTCAAATAAAAAAAAAATAAAAAATAAAAAAAAAAGATATTACTACATGGAGTTAAATAATTCTTTTTTTTTAAGAATTATTTTATTTAACTTTATTTATTTATTTAAATTTGACCAGAGAAGGACAGAGTGAGAGAGAGAGAGGGATAGGGAAAGTGAGAAGGCAAGCTACCAGGTCTGGGACTTGAACCATGGTCAGCCATGTGGGAGTCCAGCGTCCTTAACCACCATGCCACCTGCCAGCCCCAATAAAATAATTCTTTAAAAAAAAGAAAAATCATACTGGGCAAGGGAACCAGCAATTAGCGTAATGACTATGTCGCTGGATTCCCACGTAGTCGACTGCGGTTCGTGTCTGGACCCGGTGGCTTAAAACTCACGCCGGGCGCGTGTGCGTGCATGCCCAAGATCCCGAGAGGAGAATGGTGGAGAAGGGACTGCTGCGTGACCTTCCCCCCTGGGGGGTGATTTCTCGCTTTCTGTCTCTATGTCTTTCTCTGTCGGTCTGGCGAGCGCACGGGCCCTATACCGAAAACCTCTCCAAAAAAAAACTATACTGGGCAAGTGTGTTTTTGTGCCCAAAATCTCAAGAGGAGAATGGAAAAGAAGGGAGTGCAGTGTGGCCATTCTCCCTGGGGGGAGAGTAATTTTTCACTTTCCCTTTCTTTCTTCAGTGAACACATGTACCCTACAGTAAACTAAAAAGAAAAACAAACAAAAAACCCAAAACACGTTTACACATCTTACCTACTGAATGTCATAGCTTACTTAGTCTGACCTACCTTAAAAGCACCCAGAAGACTTACATTTACCTACAGTTAGAGAAAATTATGTAATACAAAGCAAGTTTCACTAAAAGTAAATGTATTTTATAATAAAGTATTGACTATCTCACTAGTAAAAGTGAAAAACAGAATGCAATCCTAATTATTTTAAGAAAAAAATAATTTTTTAAAAGAGATTTTTGCTATAGGGTGTGTGCGCTCACAGGAGAGACAGAAAGAAACAAAAAGCGAAAAATCGCCTCCAGTGGAGATGACAACATTGCAATCCCTTCTCCTCCATCTCCTCTAGGGATCTTGGGCATGCACACACAAAAACCTGGAGTAAGTTTTAAGTTACCGGGTCCAGGTGGTCAACTATGTGGGAGTCCAGCAAAGTAACCATTATGCCATCTGCTGGTACCAATAACTGTTTTTTCTTTTTTTAAACAAACAAACCAATGATAGCCCATACCATCTGTAACTTGGGGGCCATCTGTGTAAGTTATATACTCAGGCAGAGTAAACAATACAAAACCACCATAAACAACACATACTTAGAATTATTTTCACTCAATTGACACAGACTAATTACTCAGGATGAAAAAGGCAAACCTTTGACA